CTTTCTAAAAATCAATGAGAACTCAGGGTCATCCTTTCATGCTGGCTTGTCTGATGATTCGGGCCGACCTTCCTTCCATCTTGCATTGGGTGTGCTGAATGTTACATTGCACCCAATAATTCAAGTTCTCCTGACCAGGTTATTCTTACAATAACAGGCAGGCATCCACTAGACTGCCATATTCTGTGGGCAGTAAGTTTTTATTTCCTTGCTATTTTGTCTTCCACAATTCAAGACTTACTGTGGTTTATTTTGAAGATAAAGAACTAAGCGGTTATTTCAGCTTGTTGAGTATTTCAGGAAAACAGACTTTAACGGAAAAACTGATCTCTGATTCATTTTTTTTTTTTTTAATTTTGGCCTATGAAATTTGTCTTGCTTGTTACATTCACTGTAGTAAAGAGGTTGTTAGCCATGTGCTCTGAAAGACATGAGTGTGGTGTAGCTAATCCTCTGATAAAGGAAGACCAGCTGTATGAACAGTAAGATACCAGGCTAGGTGAGCAATTGTGTGGTACTCAGACATAATGCAAGGTGGTAATTTTCCATATTCATCTGTCAGTCACAATTCTGCTTTCAAATTATGTTTTAAGCAGCTTGAAGATTTAGTTCCCCATTTTTTTCATGACTCCAGGTTCTTAACTGCCCATTAATGGTTACAGGAAGAACTTCCTGTTTATTTAAAAGTTTCATTTCTCAGAGCTCAAAAATAACTAGTCAAGTAGTGAAGGGTGAGGGTTAACTACATGAACAGTATAAATTGTTTCCTTTGACATAAATAAATGTGAATATTCTGTTCTGAATATTTTGAGGTCTATGATCCATCTTTTTTCTGCTGTAATTTAACTGAGAAATTTTAAAAGTCAGTATTTAATAGATTTAACAGATTTTTAATTTTTTTATTATTTTTTGCCAAGGAAACTCTGCACATATATGTGTTTTCTCACCTCATAGTATATGGTGCAAGTGTTTTGAAGGGGTTGTTGTGGGTGTGGGTTATTTGCTGTAATGGAGAGCTGTCTCTTGTGCCAAACATGTTTTAACTCTCATTAGATCTTTATAAATCATCTTTCCAGATTATTTGGAGATGTATTCAAATTCTTGAAGAGAGAAATGGCATCTTTCTGAAAGCTTCATGAGCATTTAAAAAAAAAAAAGAAAAAGAAAATAAAGAAGTTTTCTTGTTTGCCTTTATTTATAGAGAGATACTTTTTCTTCATGCAGTGATTGCTTTATATGGGCTTTTTCATTTTTGTTTTCTCTGAAAATAAGTTGCAGTAATAGTGATAGGCTGACATATGACTGGTGTTATTAATAAGAGCTATATAAATTGTTGGCTAAAAATAACTCCTGTTGAATATATTAAAAGTATTCTGCTTATGGAAAGGTAAAACCAAAAGCTAATGATGACTTATTAGAGGAGACAAATTATATTTGCCTGTGAGTACAATATGTACCCTGTGGATATTCATGGTAAATTAAAGTCTAAAATTATTTGGGAGAAAATATCATAACTTGTAAGCATTAAAAAAATAGGTCTCAGCTTAGCTGATAGTTTCGCATATATACAAAGCTACTCTCAACCCTGAAAAAAGACAGAAGTGTTTAATTGAACTAGTTCTGAAAACTATTTTCCAAAGTTATGAAGACAATAGTTTCTCAGAATATTAGAAGAGGATTAAAATGGATTCAGCTTTAATCACCCATGCCATTCGACTCCAAGTTAATCTTCAGCATCGTTAAAAGCTAGTAGGAAACTACCTCTAAACTTGGTTGTTTCTTCTGGCTGTGCCTCACAAATCACAATTTAAAGTATAGAACATGGAAAGCCTGTCATAGGGTGATGTAAATTTAATACACTGAATTTTCAGTCTTCACTCAGGTTATGAGGTTTATAACAAATGGATACAGGGCTTTTAGGAATAATGGTATGTCTGCAAACACTGAATAAACTAAGCTGCAAATGCTGTCATGCTGTAGTTGTTTCCCCACAGTAATTTTTTTATCCTGTTATGCTTGACTCTTGTAGCAAAGGAGCCAACTCTGGTCTCT